GTGAATTGTTCTGCTATGAACATAGTGATGTATATATCCTTTCTGATTGGCGTTTCTGGTTTCTTTGGATATATTCCTAGTAGTGGGATCACTGGGTCAAATGGGAGTTCCATTTTTAGTCTTCTGCGTTATCATCTCACACCTGTCAAAATGGCTATCATCAACAAATCAACAAACAACAAGTGTTGGAGAGGATGTGGAGAAAAAGGAACCCTTCTGCACTGCTGGTGGGAATGCAGAATGGTGCAGCCACTGTGGAGAACAGTATGAAGCTGACTCCATATTTGAAGCTAGGCCCCAAAGTGTGGGGGTGCAATTGCACTGTTTATTCCCAAGAGTGCGTGGCTTCCTAGAGCTTGCATGCCCATTCCCACACCTATCCAGGCAGCCACTGGCTGGCTAAGCCGAGGGCAGAGCCCCTGCCTATGGAAGGAGATGACAGTGGGGTGCATGTAGGCTAGAGTCAAACAACCATCAAGTCCTGGATCCTTGCTACTTTGCCTGTCTCCTGGGGAGGGTGAGTAGACACAGACTTATGGCAACCAACTGCGCCCGTCTCCCTGTCAGTAATGAAACCACCCGGAGGCACCCTCGCCAGTTTGCGCCATATGCTCCCCAATTACAACTCAAATGCATGCCACATGCGAGGCTGTTGGAAACACATTTTTGTTTTGATGTGGCTATTCTGAAGTTAATGTGCGCAAGAACAGATGCTGTCTGTCAACCAAATGATGACACTGCTGTTGCTGAAACTATGCTTTCGCCATGTTTGTAAAACAGAGAGGGTTTTATATCTCTTTGCTAAATACTCTATTATCAGATGAAGAGAAGGCACCATTATGGTTCTTTCAACACCAAAGGGAATGTTTCTCAAAGACGGGTTCACGCTTTCCCTGTACCAGCCCAGGTTTGGCTTTTAAGGAAAAGTGCCTGACACGCTCATTCATAGGCATGTAGTTTCACGTTCACGGTCATGCCCTATGGTTTCTTCCTGCTACTGCCAGTCAGTGCATCTCTACCCGGAAACTTTGCCCTCATATCACCAGTTCCTATAACTGTCCCTCTTGGAGACACCCAGCAGGAACGGCTGGTAGAAAGCAGGGGCCTTTGCTGCTGGGCCGCCCTTCCTGCAGTCTCCCAAGGAAGAGGCTCCTGTATTAAGCTGGAGTCCCCAGCAGGTGTACATGTCATCAAGCTATGGGCAGGCAGAAGGGAGAGGCCCTCCATCCTCTACACCCAGTTTTACCTGAAGGTCACTGGGCAGGGGGTTCCCAAGGAGGAGTACTTATTCCTGTGGAGGTTGGAAGTGACCCAGGCATCTCATCCTCCCCACTGCCTGCCTCCCTCCCAAGTTCCCTGATGCATTCCTAGAGAAACGCAGCCTGAGAGCAGACGAGGGGCGGGGCTACTGGCCCAGTGAGTCCTGATGGTATGAGGTCTTGCTGGGATGCTGAGCTTTCCTCACTCATAGTAATGCCACTACCTGGCCTACTGGGGACGCTAAGCACACCCCACTGCCAGCCATCCCTGCTTACCTGAGTTGGCACAATACCCCCACAGAGAGAGAGCTTCCTGGTCTGCTTGTTCTTATGAGGTCTGGCAAGGTCTCTCACAGTTCCTGCCACGGGCAGATCCCATCTGAATTTGTGTTTGCCTAGGGCTCGAGCTCACACTCTTGGGGAACAATGTCAGATTCCCTCAATGTGGCTGTGCCCTCCCTGGTCAAAGATCCTCAGGGTGGCCAATCCGACTCTTCTGGCCCTCATGTGTGGCAGTTGTCTCAGAATTTTTTTTGTATTCTCAATCATTTTGTTACTTATCCACAGCCCACAGCAGAGAGTTTGCTCAGCAAAAGCATGCAAAGAAAGCCCTGCGGTGGCACCCCCTGCTCCCTAGAGGATGGCACACAGGGGCAGGGCATTTACCTTGGGACAGGTGCCATGTTTCCAGTCTTGAGAGGTTTACAAATAGTCTGTGCCCATGAGGGATTGTTCACGTAGCTTTCCAAATTATGGACTAGTTTACATTATGAGCAAACATTCAAGCAAAGGGTGACAAGCCTCATGGGTGTAGCCACTGATAAAACATTGGCTGCTACTTGCCTACCAGCTTGATTCACCATGGATTTTTTTTTCTCTTTTCCTGAAGAGACAGAAGGTTCGTGTATTAGTTATCTATTGCTGCATAACCAATTAGCTCAAAAATAGCAATTCAAAATGGCACCTACTTATTATCCAAGAGTTTTCGTAGGTCAGAAGTCCAGCATGACTCAGCGGTGTTCTTGGCTTTGGGTATCTCAAGGCCATGATCAAGGTTGTGCTGGCTGGGCTATTATGGGGAGACTCTGGGAAGAATCCACCTCCAGGTTTATTCAGGTCATTGGCAGAATTCAGTTTCTTGGGCTTGTAAAACCGAGGTCCCTATGCCTTGTTTCCTGTAGGCCTGTAGTCCCTCTCAGCTTTTTAGAGGTTACCCACATTCCTTGTCACACGGCTCCCCATCTTTAAAGCCAGAAGCGTGGTGTCAGATCCTTCTCCTGCTTCTAATATCTCTGACTTCTTTCTTCTGCTAATCAGAAAGCATCCTGCTTTCAAATGGCTCCAGGATTGGATCAGGCCCACCTGGACAATCTCCATATTAGGGTCAATGTCAGCTGCACAGTCCCTTCCTAGCAGTGCCCAGACTGTGTTTGGTAGACTTGCCAGGGGACAGGGGTCTTGGGGGCCATCTGTAGAATTCTGCCTGCCAGGAAAGCACAGAGAAATCAAGCTCACATCCTTCCTCACACCATCCTTGATGCTTCCTCTTGTGATTGTATCTCCATTGTTGTCTCCACCAGTGAGCACCCAGGACCCTGCGCCAGAACCGGGACCAGAGGAGGAGGTGGGGCAGGTGGCCGATGATGCCAACCAGGAAGTAGCCCCTGCCCACGTGGGGACTGAGAGCGAAGTGGAGCAGGAACTGGAAGAGCGAGCCTCCCTCAGTGAGAAGGAGAGGAGGAACGAGGAGGTGAACGAGAGGGACAACTGCTCTGCCTCGAGCATCTCATCCTCCAGCAGCACGTTAGAGAGGGAGGAGAAGGAGGACAAGCTCTCCAGGGACAGGGGCACTGGTAATCAAGCCCCTTTTTCCATAAACATTCCAGGGGACCTCTGGGTGGGGGTCCTGGGTTGCTGGCCTCTGAGGTGACCGGCTGGCCCAGCTCACTCATCATGTAATAGTGACTTTATGATTAGCGATGACATGTAATGTTAGTCCTCAGTAGGGACTTGAGGAGGGAGCCACAGAGAGTTGTAGAAATTGTAAATAATTTATACAATATTTTGAATTATTATTTATATGTGAAACCATGGTTGGCTTTCCTGCCCATGGCTTGAGAGCTGTCAGGTTGGCAGGGAGCCAGCTCTGTAGACTAACAGTCCTCAGAGTGGAGGCAAGTCTTACAGCCAGCCTTCATCAAGCTAAGAGTGACATATATTCAAGGAGCCCTAAGGGCAGCAGGAAAGCTCCACAATGGCCTGCCAACCAGTGCCATGACCCATGCCTGGCTTGTTAGTTCACAGATTAAGAACATATTATATCTGAAGCATGGGTGAATGAATGAAAATTGAATGAATGAATGGAGCCAAAATGTCTCCCATGAGACCTGCCAATCAATGGCTTAGTCTAAAATAGTTAGTAGTTGAATTTTTCACCAGTTATAACATATTAGATTTTATTTACTGCAATATTAGTCAAAAGAAGACAAAAAGACTTTATTAGTTTATATCAGGGGTGGAAAACCTTTTTTCTGCCAAGGGCCATTTGGATACTATAACATCATTCTTGGGCCATACAAAATTATTAACTTAAAAATTAGCTGCTATATTTGGTCAAACATTTAATTAACTCACCCCTAATGCCTTGGCAGGGACAGACCAAATGATTTCACAGGCCTTATACGGCCCACGAGCCGGACATTACCTATATCAGGGGTGGAAAACCTTTTTTCTGCCAAGGGCCATTTGGATACTATAACATCATTCTTGGGCCATACAAAATTATTAACTTAAAAATTAGCTGCTATATTTGGTCAAACATTTAATTAACTCACCCCTAATGCCTTGGCAGGGACAGACCAAATGATTTCACAGGCCTTATACGGCCCACGAGCTGGATGTTTCCCACCCCTGGTTTATATCTTAGGGAATATTGCATTGAAAATCTTGTGTCTGTTTGGTTTTAAGATGTATGTGCTAATATGTATTACATGTATTACTATTTCTTTAATTTCTTTCAAAGTCAGATTACAATTAGTCTCCCAAATTCTACTTGTGTATTCACATTTAATGTAATTATGTTCATAGTACAAGGTGTTGGGAAAGTCTTCCTGATCACATTTTGGCCTTAAAATGTTTTAGGTTTATGCATAGCTTTCTGAGTTATTCCTCATAACCAGGTGTAGTGGGCCTAAAACATATCAACGAGTTGGCTTAGTAAACATAAGCCAGGGAACAAAACTTTCTTGGATTAGATTGTCCAATATTCTTCCAAATAAGGACAATTTTCCAAAACTGGAGACTCTGCTCCCCGGGAAGGACCATTGACTTTCCAACAATAACTGGTGGTGTCCAAGTGTATACCCTCAGGAGTTAGGGCTTTGCGGTGACTTTTCTGCTTCAGTGGTGCTAAGAGATGTGATCATGTGTATATGTGATAGCTCTTCGGTTCTTAAAAAATCCCACTGCTCAGGCACCATTAGCAGCTGTGGAGTCTGGACAGCTCTTTCAGCATAGCTCTTGCTTTTCAGAATGTTCTCAGCTAAATCACAAAGACCATCAAAATGGTTTCCAATCCTATTCTAATGATTGCATCTATTATTTGAAAATGAACTTGCAAGGCTTGAAAGATATTCAACTTATTCTCATTGTGTAGTTTTCTTTTCCTTTGTTTCGTGTGTCCCATTCCATGCATTATTGTATGGCAAGGCATTATTGTAGCATTCATCACACTTTGTTGTAATTACGTGTGTAACTGTCCTTTGTCTCCACTTGATGTAAGCTTCATGAGGATGGGGATGTCTGTCTTGTTCATTGTGAGCTCATGCTGGGCGTCCAGAACACAGGAAGGGGCTCACAAAACCATTGATGAATAAATTAATAAGGAGGCATCTGGTTAAGATGGAGAAGCTCCATTGCTCCCAGGTCTCCCTCTGACAACTAAATTATAAACATCTGGGCATAGCAGAACAACCAATCATAGGGAGATGCTGAAAGGTGGAAAGAAAATAGACTACCTAGGGACCTTCAGACTTGAATGACATGGCAATGAAGCATCAAGTAAAGTTTATTCCCCTAGCCAAAAGATTGGGAAAAGTATTGTCTAACAGAACAGAAAATCTTTTTTATTATTAATACATTTCCTGCCCTAGACAAGCACCGCTAATGGAAAATCTGTGGCTGTCCTATCCCCCATCCCCACCCAGTAGCTTCCAAATAACCAGATGTGTCAACCATGAATTCTATATCCAGCAAAACTAACTTTTAGGAATGAAGGGAAAATAAATACAGTTAAAGAAAACTTAAGAGAATTTGTCACTAGCAGACCTCCGCTTAAAGAATAGATAAAGGAAGTCCTCTGAACAGAAAGAAAATGAAGACAGAAGATAACTTGAAATTTCAGAAAGGAACAACAGAATGAGTAAAATTAGGGGGAAATTTAACAGGCTGTCTTTTTCCTCATGAGCTTCTTAAATCATATTTGATGGTGTAAGCAAAAATTATAGCATATTTGATATCGTGCTCAATATATGTAGAGGAAATCAACAATTATATTTTAAAAGTGGGGAGGGTAAAGGCATCTAAATGAAAGTAAAGTGTCTACACTTCAAAGTAGTAAAACATCAATACCAGGAGACTAATGAGTTAGTGTATGTACTATAATACCTAGAACCGTGTTCGGCAAACTGCAGCTCGCGAGCCACATGCGGCTCTTTGGCCCCTTGAGTGTGGCTCTTCCTAAGCCTTAGGAGTACCCTAATTAAGTTAATAACAATGTACCTACCTATATAGTTTAAGTTTTAAAAATTTGGCTCTCAAAAGAAATTTCAATCATTGTACTGTTGATATTTGGCTCTGTTGACTAATGAGTTTGCCGACCACTGACCTAGAGCAACCACCAAGAAAATTACACAAAGCAACATATGCCAAAACACTAAATCAAGTTGAAATTCTAAAAAAATGTTCAAGTAAGCTACCAAGACCAAGAAAGGAGAAATAGGACTGAAACAAAGGAAACAAAAAAATAAGTAAAATGGGAGACTTAAGCACTAACATATCAATAATTACTTTAAAATTAAAAGACTGAGATTTGCAGAATGGATAAAATGCAACCCAACTCTATGTTATCCATACAAAACTTATCTATATACATAAAGGATAATATGCAAGTCGACCAGATGGTGGAATGACTGGTCAGCTATGATGTGCACTGACCACCAGGGGGCACTCAACACTGGAGCTGCCCCTAGCCTGCAGGCCCCAATTGCCCTATGGGGAACTGGGAACTGTGGGTGGGTAGTGGTGGACATAGGCGGTGCTGGGGCTCGATCACCCTGCTGGTGGCCCCACACACAGAGAGCAACCAATGGCGGCAGAGAGTGGAGGGTGGGGCCAGCTGCCGGCAGCCGGGGAAAATTGGCCCTGATCGCAGGCCAGGCCATGCACAAGTTTCATGCACCCGGCCTCTAGTTTCAAATATAATGACATGGGCAGATAGAAAGTTAAAGGTTGGGCAAAGACATAGCATGCCAACATTAATAAGAAAAGCAGGAGTAGCTATATTCATATTAGATAAAGTAGAGCAGAGGAGAAAACTAGGGATAAAGAAGCACTCCGAAAACAATGTAAGAAGACCCTAAGGGCAAGTGAGAAGACCAGCATTTAAAATGTTACCTGTTTAGGCTCTTCTCCCTGTGGCCAAAAAAAGAAATTGCCAACATTTCCCAATAAATGGAGAAAGAGTGAGCCAATCTGGGAGAGAGAAAGAGAGAGACTCGGCCACTGTATCTGCTCCAGCCTTCTGGCGTCAAAGCAGTCTCCCTGTTTACGGGCTGTATGACCAGTTGTAGAGACTCCAAATAACTAGATTTTTCCGTCATGCCCTCAAATGCCTCTTCTGTCTCTTTGGTGGTGTGAGTGTTTTTTTGTTTGTGGAACCTACAGGAGGGCTCCAACACTCCTTGCTCTGGTGTTGGTCCCTTGGGGAGGTTAGGCACTCAGAGCGGAGCATGGAGGACAAAGCTGCACTGGAAGAAACAGCACATGGGGCTTGTGCTTCCCCACCGAATGCCTCCTCTACGTCCAAGGTGGAGCTGTGGGCAAGACCAGAGTCCTCCCCAGCATGTTTGATCGGGCTCGTCTCCTTCATTAAAACAAAAGCTCCCCATGCTCATGTTGATGGCCTTGGTCTCCTACCACCTCCCAATACAAGTATCTATGGAGGCCCTGGTATCAGGTGGAAACCACATTCTGAAATGCCCATCCCATAATCCTGCTAGCCCTTAGGAAGCAGGCTCAGAGGAATGACATCCTGAACATTCATTCATTCATTCATTCATGCTAGATGCTGGGGATACAACTGTGAACAAAGCACTTGCAGAGTTTACATTCCAATAAAGAAGACAGTTTAACCACTAATTATAATTTTTCTAGTGATGGGGCAAAGACAGCAATAAAATAAATTAGAAAATTATGTTTAAGGTTACATAGTAATAAGTGCTCTGGTGAAAAATAAAGCAGGAAAGGATGATAAACTGTTGGCGAGAGAAAGCATTGCACAATTTTAAATAAGGTGTTTGGGGAAGACTTTGCTGAGAAGTTACTATTTGAGCAAAGGCATAAAGGGTTTTGAGGAGCAAAGCATGCAATTAACTGGGTGCAGTTTGTTTAGGAGGGGCAAGGGCCCTGAGGCCGGGTCATGCCTGGGGAGTTATAGGAATGCCAAGGAGCTGCTGTAGCTGAAGATGTTCATGTCTGTCTGCTTGGGGTGGCAGCAGTAGATGGAAAACAATTCAGGTGAGATCACACGAGGCTTGTGAACATTGCAAGGTCATTGGTTTTTTTTCTCAGGGAAATTTGACATCGTTAGAAGACTTTGAGCAAAAAGGTATGATCAGATATTTTAACACATCACGTGGCTGTTGTATTAAGAATTGACTGTGGAGGGGCAAGAGTTGAAGCTGGGACCAGTGAGATCTTGCAATGCTGTAGGCAAGAAACCATGCTGGCTCAGCCCAGGGTTGTGACAGGGGAGGTGATAAAAATAAAGATTGGATTCTGACTATAACATGACCATTTAACTAACAGGATGCCCTGCTGTGTGGGATAAAAGAAGAGGAGGTGTCAAAGATGACTCAGATTTGGGGGATTGGCAGAAAGATGGAGTTTCCATATCCTAGACAGGAAACAATTTCAGGAGAAGCAGGTTAAGTGAGGGGGCTGGGGGCGAGGGCAGAAGATGGTATTTAAAACCCTGAGATTGGATGAGACGGTGACTAAGAGAGTGAGTAAGGATGGAGAGAAGAGTCCAAGGACATTTCAAGGGTAAAGATAAAGGAGGAATCGGCACAGGATACTGAGAAAGGAGCAGCCAGAAAAAAGGAAGCAAACCAGCTGAGTGCAATGTCCCGGAAGCCAAGTGAAGCAAGTGAAGGATCTAAGTAAGGGAGGGGGGTGAGCAGCTGGGGCTAGTGCAGCAGGCAAGGCGGCGGTCGCCTGAAAAGGAGCAGGCTTGAAAGGTGGAGGGAGCAAAAACGTCCTGAGACTCGTTCAAGAGAAAATAGAGAAACTGGAAACAGTGAGCAAGAGAAAACAAAACAAAACAAAACACAAAAACACCTCATCAGCATCTTTAAAGGAAAGGAGAAAAGTTGGATTATAGCAGGAGGGATACATGGAGTGAATGGTGGGCTTTTTGTTTGTGTTTTTTAAGATGGGTGAAGTTAGACCATGTTCAGGTGCAGGTGGTCGAGTGGAGGTGGAATGAAAGCCCTGGTAGATTTTTCTGACTTTGTGAAATTGTTAAACTAGGGAGCAGGGCCATGCGGTGCGAGGATGAGATGGGTGAGGCGGGTAGAGGAGAGAGGAGGGTGTGAAAGGTCACCTAGGGGAGGTCTTAGAGAGACAGCCAGGCAGCTTTAAGGGTCTCCTGAATTTTAAGTGCAACCAGTGGCGTGGTGTATGCATCTCTCTGGACGATTTGAGCTGCCCTGGTGCGATGTGGAGGAGGGAGAGCGATGGAAATAACCCCACAGCCTCTCCGAGGCCTCTGCGGGGGAGGGAGCATCTTCCTTGCCTTCCTGTGTGCTTAGGACAGAAGCCCCTTGGTCGCCTGTGGCTGGGTCCTGACCAGCTGTCAGGGTGAGTAGTGAAGGTCAGGAAAAGTCTCCCAGGAGCCCGGGCAGTGTCACACCTACAGGCGTCGCGGGTCCTGGAGCAGATCACTGGGCGTTAGATGCAGCACCTGTACCTGGTCGAGGGCGTTTTGTCAGCCATGACCGCCTTCCTCTTCGGGGGTCTTGCTTCCCTGTCTCCTCTGAGTGGCCGTGTACAGAAAGCCCACAGCTTCCCTACCTGGTCTTCTCAGGGTGTGGCCCTGCGCCTTTCTCATTTTCCTCTCTCCTGTCTGCTTTCAGGTTTGTGGTCCGCGGGGGTTCAGGATGCCAGTGTAAATGAACAGTGTGGCGACATCCTCACCAACAAACGCTTCATGCTGGACATGCTGTATGCCCATAACAGAAAGCCCACGGATGCCGAGGAGAAGGGGGAGGGCGAGCCCGCGGGCGCTGAGCAGGGGGCAGAGGCGGTGCCCAGCCTGGCCAGCAGGATATCCACGCTGCAGGCCAGCTCCCTGGCACAGGACGAGAGTGTCAGGAGGGTGGACGTGGGCTGCCTGGACAACCGGGGCAGCGTGAAAGCCTTCGCGGAGAAATTCAACAGCGGGGACCTAGGGAGAGGGCCCGTCTCCGACACCCAGCCTGATGACACGGTCCCGGAGAAAGCATCCCCCCAGCCCAAGACGGAGTCCGACCACATCTGGGACCAGCTCATGGCCAACCCAAGGGAGCTCAGAATCCAAGACATGGATTTCACCGACCTGGGAGAGGAGGATGACATCGACGTCCTAGACGTGGACCTGGGTCACGG